TGAAAAAGTTCCTTCATCATCCTGATTACTGCAATATCCGTCTTCCAAATCAGTAGACAAAATTTCTGCACTGCATCTTTTTGTTTCTGACAAAGAGAAAGTATAACCATGGAATCAACAGAGTTCCAATAAAAGGCTATTAGTCTCTATTACAGCAAATGGAAAATCATGATATCCAATCCTAACTACATGATGGAATGGACCTAACTAGGTCCCACATCATGTCCCACTTATTTTGTGACTGTAACTTAGATGTCTCTATTTTCAGTTTCCACTAAGTACCATACTTGAAATGAAAGAAATGTCAACTACTGCCTATTCCCTTGAATTTTTACTTAGAAAACAAAAGTGAACACATTATGTTTGTTCTTTACCTTCAAGGAAGCTTTTAACATAGACTTTCTCAGAGAACTCGGACCAGCTACAAGGATCAAAATCCTTAAGTATTTCCTTTTCCTGTTGGACATATAAATACAAAATTAAGAAGATAAGCCTCAATGTTACAGATTTCTACAATTCACATTCCAAGTCCCACTTAGTAAGATACATTCATGAGAAAAGAAAAAATAAAAATAAAAACAGATAACCTTGGTTTGCATTTGCAAGTCCAATATAACCAAATTCTTTCAAGATAAAATGCTGAGGCCTTTTTTTTTTTTTCCTCATTTTTTGCACCAAAAAATATATAACCAACCTTTCCAGCAATAAGTTTGCCTCCTTCCCACAAAATGGCAAGAACCAAATGCTTGACTCCAACCATCCCATCACCTAACATACATACAGAAAATTATAGACACACTTTAAGTTTTTCAAACTCTAAGCAAAGCGCATTAATTGATCAAACATCAAAAGTATAAGGAACAAAATAAGCTTAGTAATAAACAGCACAAAATTACCTATGTAAGACGCAATATCTTTAGCTATGATATAGAAATCATAGATAGGGTATTCTGCTTTGTATTCATATAAAAAATTCAACCCTGCATCCCTAATTGCTCCCCTGACAGCATCAACCATCCTTGTGTGGCCAAGTGCCAGGAGAATATGACACACCTCAATGAAATTATGGCCCTTATGCCTTCGTATATAATCAGCATAGATAACAACCTCAATAACCTCTTCAGCAAATGACCCAGCCCAGGCCACACCAAATAGAAATTTGATATGACCAGCATTCGTTTCAAGCTGGAAAAAAGAAAATAGAAAACTATCATCTTATAATCAACGTTGTACGTCATGATAAATCCAGAGGGAAGCAATTTTTCTTAAATTAAACCAAAGAATGTAGCACAAAGTAGCATGGTCATGTAAGAAGGCCAGACAGATTGTCTGAATCAGAGAGAAATATTGTCCTAATGGTCACACAATGCTGAGACAGAGATTCAAGCAAATGAGAGGAGGAAAAGTATGTAAATAGTATTACTCTTTTGAGGAAGAGTAGATCATGAAGTGAAATGGGGAAATGACATCATCCTCCCAGTCCTCCTTGAACCCGATCTCAAAACTAAGATTTTCATCAAACAATAGTAAGCAAAGGGTTCTCAAAAGTTGAGGAGAAAACACTGAACTACAATTTTTATGATACAAATCAAACTAATCCTCTCTTGCCTAACACTCCATCCTCACTACAGAAGGTTCAAATTTTGTAATAAAAACATAAAATATTTACTTGAAACTAGAAAATAACCAATTAAAACTATTTTATTTTATTTATTTTATTTTATTTTATTTTTTTGAGAAAATGCAAAGACCAATTAAAACTTTTGAATGATAGCCATGGATATATAAAAACAGGAAGTATTATTCAGTCCAAGGCAATCAAACTAAAGATCACAGCAACCCTTCCAAAATTTTCTGTTGTGGCATCAATATCTTCCTAGAATACAGTCAACACCATCAGCAATTCAAGTGTAGACAGAATGATGACTGAGCATGAGACATGCACATGCCTACATGGAATTTGTAAAATCAGATAATATTAATGTAAAAAGAAGAGATCCACAACTCCATCATCGCTCTAATCCCGAAATACAGTCCTAATGTCCCTACCCCACCAGTGCAATGACAGACATCAACCACATTCTTTCCTATTCCTTCATCCTCATATCACCTTTGATTTGTACTTACTCTACATGAAGTGCTAATGAAATCCAAGAACGGGGGGAAAAAAAATTGTAAAACAGAAAAGAAAACATCATTTAAGAAAAAGGAATTGGTTACAGCTACATTTTACAGCACAACATGCAATTACAACCATGCAGTGCAAATTTGATACTCTTCACTTAATTGTGCTCAGAGGCACATCATTTCTTTTCAATAAAAAACGAATTCATTGAAGGAGCCAAACAAAAATAAAAATGGAAAATTATGATGACAAATGATTAGTGAGAAATTGAGAAAACAATCAAACTATCATAAATGAGGACCTGTTATAAGTAAATTATCTAAACAATCAATGAACATACCTCAATAAGCACATATAAAACCAATTAAAACTAAAGAGCAAGAAACACGTTAAACCATAACACATGCATCATAATAAATAAATCCTAGGAGACAAACTTCATTTTAAATCTTCCAATAAAAACATGCCCTCCACAATACTGAAAAAATACACCAAGTACCAGTGCACATGGTATACCTGTTCACGCCTGCTCCACACAACATGAGACAAACAAGAAACAACATCATCGAGAATACTACCAATAACCTCTATAGGGTCAGGGGTTGGCACAGATTCTTTCAACTCTAGAATCCTTGTATCTTTCAACAATTCACAGACCAAGAAGTTTTCAACATTACTACGTTCCCAACTTAAAAGTCCCTTGTTTAGATGACATTTTGCCTTCCCCTGTAAACAACAAAGAACAAGTTCGATCCTTTAGAGGTGAAAATAGACATGTAGAACTTGTCAACAAAATACATGTGTGCGAGCATTGGGGGATTTAGGGGGTTGTGCCAGCAAAACAAATAAGTAGCCTACGAAGGATGAGATTAGCTTTTGTAGGAAATGAGAAAACAATTGAAGCAATGAAAAGAAAAACCACTTGATCATGTCATCCTTATACCTCCAATGGGGTGCAATCCCGCAAAGCATTCTTTACCATAAGCATGTCATCAACTCTGGATGTCTACAGCAAGAATCATTGTTATAACAAAGCATAATAATATCAGACATAAGGATCAACATCTTAACTTCTAAACAGTATTCACCTTCACTGCAGGTACATAAACATTCGGCAACTGAGGCTGCAAAAGGCAATGTTAAGAAATGTATTAGATATCTCAGACTAAAAGGCATATCAATTCAGAAATATGAAAGAAAATTTCTAGTATCTTCAAAGAATCCGTAAGGAAGAATGCCAGAACGTCCAAAACATCATGGTTTAAATGAAACATGTATGTTCAGTTCAAGAGTTGCATGTTCACCTTACAAAACATTAATAAACTGCAATTGGATCTGCTGTTAAAACCAATAGTTTAGTGACAAAAGGATAAAACGCTTTACTATCACTTATGTAAAAAATTCAAAATGGCTCTAGACAGAGAGCTTATTTAAAAAATGTACTGACATATATATCCTTGGCTCAGAAATAAACTATCTGAAGGACTGAGGCAAGAAAACTGAAAAAGTTCCAAGGACCAAACTTTATAGGTTTGGCCCAATTCCTTTATTGAGCAAGACTTCTGAAAATGAAAATACATGCAGCAACACATCAATCCTAAATATCCATAACTCTTTGCAAACCAATTGGCTATGACTCTTGCATGGTTAAAAAAGAAAAGAGGGTGAAGAATATCCAATTACAATGATCATATTATTAGACCTTAATTTGTTGGTAAAATAAAAATAAGAGAACAAAACTCAAATAAGAGGTCTTATACTTTTTATAGTTTTTCTTATGAATTAAGGCAGACAAAACAACTTTATTGGGATTAATTAATGGCCAAAAGGCAATCACCGTCACTGAATTAAAACCATAGAACTCCCCACTGCAGTAGGTTAAGTAGCAAATCTACAGAAAAAGAAAAAAGCATCAAGAGTGTGATAGAATTTTGCAAATAGAAGTCATAAAGAATTTGATGGTGTGAAGGAAGCATATAATAGTCACCTTGAACATGCAAATAATATCTATCTCCGATAGAAACTTATAATTTTTTAGATCCCAGTTCCTTTGAGCAATACCTTTGACAAGGCCTATTCCCTACAACAAAATCAGAACAATCGGGCGAGCAGTTAGAAGCCATACAATTAAAGATCAATAAAAAAGAAAAAGGTGAAAAAAGAAAAAAGAGAGCAGACTCTTGAACAAAATTAAAAACATGGTACTGCTCCTAGTACAAACCATTTCTTTTATTAGAAGACGATAAGAACTCTCTGATTTCAAATTGAGACGCTCTTGAATTGCTACTCTCACGACGTCTACCTGCTGGTGAAATTCTTCACATTCCTTAGTGTAACTAGGCTCATTAACAAATCGCCTGAAATCATCCTGTGCTACATATTCCTTACAATTAGTGTCATCAAAAAGTCTTATTTTATGGTATGAGAGTAAGAAAAAAGGAGCAAGTTCGTTGTACATTTGTTGTGTTAAAATTGAAATATTACTAGAGTATATCAAAAGGTTGAAAGGAGAAGCTACCTTATCGAAAGTACGCAATATAAACTTAGTAAATGCATATGCCAGTTGCTTCCGAAAAGTTGAGCAATTACTGCCCAGTTTTTGTTCAAAATATTTCCACGCAAGCAGCTCCCAAAAGCCTGTAAATTGTGCAGATATCTCGATTACAACAAGACACTCTTGAATAACCTAACATGAAAAAGGCAAGGAATTAGTTAAAAAAGGATTCATATAATTTATTATTTTAAAAAGGCGTCGATTAATTTATACAACCAAATAGAAGCCAAATACTAATTCAAAAAGCAGCAGAGACTTAATGCCCAAACTAAACTAGATTAAAAGAGTAACAAATACATAATTTTACAAATATGTGTTTATCAACTCGCAGAAATTGGTTAACTATTAAAAAAAAAGTATTTTTCTTGATAGATGCAGTTCGTCTTACAAAGAATATTCAAATAAATTTATAAGACAAATTATGTTTTTAAAATATAATATATCCTGAAAAACTTAGATCCTTAACTATAAAATAAATAAATAAATTGACAAAATAATACATTGTACAAACGAGTGATGGCGCTGGAATCCGAATCCAACTGCTTTTGATTCTGAAAATAACAAAGTCAAAAATGTCAATAAGGGAACAAAACAAGAAGAAGAAGAAGAAATAAGTAATACAAGAACCAACCTTGGCCGCCGGCGACTCAAGGATCTCGCGCTCTACATAGGGTTTCAATTCTCTTAATTCCTCTTCGAAGCAGCACTTTAGGTGGTGTCTCTCTGAAAATCAAAGCAAAACAAAAATTGAGAGTCTCCTATATGAAGATATTCAAAGAAGCAAAAAGGCAAAAATAAAAAATTAGGAGTCTCCCACACGAAAAAATTCAAATAAGCAAAACGAATAATCAAACTCCGATTATGTACCACAATCCGACAGCTCGCATACATGAGGCCAAGAATCAATTTCTTCCATCGAACCCGAACCAACTCCAATTTCAAGGTGTAGAAACCAAAGTTTCTCCCGTCACTCAATATCTGTTGACTTCTTCGCAAGGTTCTGCATACAAGAACTCTTGTATGAGAGTGTTATCACGAACCCTGTTCAAGAAATTAGCCGTCTCCTCAGGGTTTAACCTGTTATCAAGAATTTCTGCCCTGCTCATTAAATACACATCATCTGAGGGTCACCCTCCCAAACCCTAGGTTGCGTTTCTCAAATAACGAGCAAGGAAACTTACCTAGCAAGTTTGATAAAGATTTTTTAACCTCCTAAATTTTGGTAAGTAACTTAAATAGAATCTGCAATAAATATAGAAGCGATTTTAATTGAGAAAGGCCAATGATATAGTTAGTGCTATATAGGATTATCATATCACATTAAATGAGTTTGAAATCAAATTAAATTAATAAATATATATATAATTTTAAATAAAAAATTAATTATATAACTATATGTTAAGTATATTATAAGAATATAATACTATTTAATATTGCACTTATAACAATTTCTATTG